TTCAAACGATGTAAGTTGTATAGCAAAATTCAACATATTAGCTATGCAGTAAGCAGATGAAATGAGCCAACTTTATATAGGATTGTCTTAACAAATTCCCATCTCTCAAGTCATGATTACTGTTTGTTCTGTTTTTAACTGAAACAGTTAACCTGGACTAGCTGCATAAAAGCATTCCAGGAAGCAAATCTTCCGTCTGATCAGTTGCATCAACTTAATAACATTCAATGAAACTATCCAGGACAACAATTATTTATGATTAATTGCAGATCAAGCTCTGGTTAGCAATGCTTGAGGCAAGAACTATGTATGTCTCTCGCCATCTGATCACTGCCTGCGCTGACCAGTGGTTTGCCGCTTAAGTTTTCATACTCAGTGAATTCCAAATTTCTGACAATCAGTGAATCGAGACCTAACACCTCGATTCGATCTGTAATCGCTCGCTTCTGTGGGATTAGGGGATAGGGCGGGTGACATTATCGTCTGCAGCATAAACAGTGTTTAAGATTACAATACAATCTTTGTTTTATGGGAGCTACCGTTTGCTTGTGTAATAGACCGATTCCACTCGTTTATACACACATCTAAAACTAAATGCTTAACCTCTGACACAATAAAAATGGTATTTAAAACAGTTTTCATTGGGACTAACATGTTCCAGGCCAAAAAAAAGATAAACTTTATGCATTTTGAGTTTCCAGTTACTTTTCCTTCTTATCCTCAAACTGACTGACCCAAAGACTGACCCAAAGAAATAGTTTGTGAGAGGTTAGATCTTTGTCAAGAAATACATAAACGTTTATACAATCTGACAGCACTTCCCCATTAGCGAAAAGTAGTCGGTATACATCCCATGTAACTGCTAACAGCATTATTTGGCGTAAATTTCTTTAAACCTAAAACGTAAAGCATGTTTCTAATCTAAAAGGCAATAATACATGACATGTCATATGTAGCCCAAATACTCTAACAAAAAGTAGGAAATCAAGAAATATAAATGCTAATACCAAATATTATAACAGAGATATGCAAGAACGTTTAGGTCTGTAATATTTAACACCAAAACACATTCAAAAGTGTTCACAGATCGTCGTGCCGGAGTGTTGCTTAGACAAGCAGAAAGATTCAGGATTCTAACATAGCACGACATGACTGCTTTGGAGGGGACTCAATCGTGCCTTGGGGTGGGGTCAGTATACAGCGGGACACGACGATAGGTGTGCGTTATAGGGGTACCATTCTAGATGTGTACATGAAAATGTATGCTGGTGCAATCGGACCGTGCAACCCAGATATCCATTTGGAGCATGATAGGATGGTGCCAGGCCGTGATCGTATCACGTGTTTCACATACGCACAGTTGTGAGTTTGTCTTCTTTACAATAAATTGGTTATCGTTATGATTTGACGTTTCAGTTTTGGCCAGATACTCTTATTTTGTTGTTTTATGAGATGTTGTGTGGCACTTGGGAACTGACTTTTGTTCATGGATGTCTTCATGCACTATTGTCTTTGGCTATTTCAATAGATGCACACAATTTGGCACATTACCTTTTAAACACAGCAAAAAAAGTGTAGGTTTCCGGTTTCCGGAAACCTTCCGGAAACCTTCCGGATACCTTCCCATTTTGGATCCGGCCCGGATACCTTCCGGAAACCTTCCGGAAACCTTCCAAAAAAAATGTCAAAATTTGGGGGGTGCATTTTGTTCACTTAAGTGTGAAACACATAAAAAAGTTATCTTGAAAATACCAAGAGATTTGAAGGTTGCTGAAGGCATCTGGAAGGTTTCCGGAAGGTTTCCGGAAGGTTTCCGGAAGGTATCCGGATGCAAATTTTCTTCATGGTTTGGGCATATCATACAACTGCAGTAATTTTCAGCACATGCTATCTGATGATCCTTAGCAAACTTTGAGTTGTATACTAAGGTCTCTTGTACCACAATAGATGGCTTTAAGATAGAAAGATCGATTGATTGACTGATTAATTGGAAGGTTATAACCAATTATGTCAACACCCAGTTTAAAGACAGTGAGGTTGTTGATGAATTAGAACAGTACCTTCAACTAAAATGGAGTGCTCTATTCAGAGCGGTGTACTGTGTTCACAGCTTATGTAATATACGTTTTGTTAACTGTGATCAGAGATTATGTTTATTCCCTTACTGAAGAAACAATCAATTTCAAGACATAAATTAACCCTTTTGATCTTAACCCGACACCTTTCTGTAACATTATTGCCTGTTGTCAATATAATCAAAGAAGGTATTAAAATGATGTTACTTTTGGTAGGCCTTATCAATATAGAAGATTTAAGGAAAGTGGAATACACGTATATCACGTCGCAGTGTGGATCTTAACAAAAACTTGTAGATAGCTACATGTTGAACAGGAATCGTGTATAATATATATATGTATAGTCAAAACCTGCAGCGGCAAATGTCAGGCTTTCTTCACAAGTAGATGATGCTGAAATTACCTTCTTGCTGTCAATTCCCAACGTCAAAAGCACAATGTACAGACACCTCTGCAAAATCATCCAAACCTTACATGTACCTCAGTCTCGATCTCGATCTTGAAGGTAGAAGGACAGACTGCTGATGGTCGAACTTCCTGCTCTTCAGCGACAGTGGTGATGACAAAAGCATTCCCTGTTCAACCAGGAACAGTAACTACCCCGAAATGTTACCGGATGGTACTTTCACAGTGTGTCCCGAGTTATTTGACCAAGTTGCGCATCATACACGCGACAGCTGGTTTCGCCATCTCTCCTCTTGTCTTCACACTACTCTGATCGCAAAGCAACAACCTATGCCATGCTGTTCAGTCTGCCTAAGACAGAAGTAGACCAGAGGCTGAACAGATCCCTATTCTCGACAACAGTTCAGATAGATTTGAACATGCTGCTGCCCGTTTCATTGAGATAAAATTCTAAGGGCTTCGCTTTCAGTTACACTGTCAAGTAAATGTAAAGTGGAGAGGAATTCAAACCCTTGGACTAGCAGTGCAATACAAGTAAGTGAGGCAGTGGTTCAGAAGAGGTTCTGGTCTGGCACTGCTTTCCCAGCACATTGACCAAGACACATTTATAAAAGCCATGGACTCCAACGATCACTATGAGACGACAGGACCTGGGAGGAATAACAGACTGGAAGGATTACACAAGTGATCAAGATAAAACCAGATGAAAGGACAAAACTTGTGCTGCTGAACTTTGAAGTTGCACCACCAACCCGCAAAAAAGGGTACAGAGAAATGGAAAACCGCCTTGGACCAACCTCAACAAGCACACAAAACTCTAGGACTCTGCTGTTAGCATTGGGTAGACTTGTGCTTCATGTGCAATTCATAACAAAATAATTACTTTAAGTAATAAATACCCTTTGGAAGCCCTTTACAGCCGTGCACTTTCACATGGACATATCATTAATTTCTCCCAGAAATTGACTTCATGTATCTAGGAACACTGATATTCAGAACAAAATCACAATCAATTATTTCACCGTCGAGGATCCAGCGGATCTGTTACCATTAAGAAATGGTGTCATCCTAGTAATTAACGTTGTAATTTGTGAACATTGTTTCTTGTATTTGTTGTTCCCATTTCTCGTCTGTTTAGCTATTGCGAAAGAAACATGAATTGAACTAATTGTACTATTTTCATCTAATTTTACAATAATATTTTCTTAATAGCGCAGTTGTTTGGTTGTCTTAAAGTACCGAATTGTTCCATCAGGAACCATGGTGATTGATTAAAGGCATTACAAGAGGGTTTTTTAACGTGCTGCAGTCATGTTGTTACGTGAGGGAATTAAGCCTGTGTACAGTCACTTGTAGTTGGTAACTGACAGAGAGTTGTGGCTGACTGCCATGTTTTAGTTTCGCTATCGGGCAAGAATCTGATAAGAATATTATTTGCCCTATCGCCATGCTGCTGGATCTATATTTAAATGTCATATGATATGAAATATAATTCAACAAACTGGTACATTGATGTCTTGGGATTATGTTTAAATTAAACCATATATATCTTGTGCCTCAGAATTGTTCATAATACTGTTTAACAGTAGAGATGTAAAGCTAAACGATTGTCTTTTTTAGTCTGTTTCCCAATGACAGAGGTCGGTTGGAAATTTAGAACTAAACTGATTTCACCGTTTTCATTTCACGGATCTTTGAATGAAAGAGTAAGGCAGAGAAGCGGTTCATGGAGGGAGGTTCACTACTATTTCACAATATGTTTGCGTCATGGTTTGAATAATCTCAATCCTAGTTTTGGCAAGAAATATTATTTCACAAGGGACATCTAACTTTACTTAAACTGGCATCGAGTTTAATTTGTATCCTTTTTATTACTACCAATGTTTTTTTTAATCAACTATCAGCAACATTACACAATGTCTTTGTGTCCTTGCGATGAGAGAAAAGTGTGTTTTATTACAATGTGCAAAACGTAAATACGGAGCTGATTTCCCTTTCGGTATGTATCCCATAATATTTCTTCAAGCTAAATGATGATGTCACGTTTGTGTGTTCACAGAGCGTGCTATTTTGTAATATTGAAATGAGGAGCTTTCAAACATATAAGTATTACATGCAGATTCGAGAAAAAGTCATGCTTGTGGATGATTATAGCTTTCTAAATCTTCATCAAATGACTGATTTTATTGTTTCAGAACAGCCAGAAGTGACATTTAAGCACTATAAGATCAGCCCACTATTCAGTGTGTTCCAAATGTACTTAATGGAAGGTTATCACCAGTTGAAACCTCATCATACACTGAAACCAAAATATATTAAGATGCCATATTTAAGGCATGGTAATGTACAGCTTCGAAACTGTCCTCCAACGAATCCATTGTGCGAAAGCTAATCAAGATTTCTAAATGACCAAACAGTAAGAATGTCACAGTGACATGGCATTTGTACTGGCATTTGGTAGGCGTGTTTTTGAACGGTTACGTATCTGTTAGTATACATAAATTTCTGAATATTACTTACTCAGCACTAACAGCTTCTGTCCACAGTTAGGGATGATTGGTCCCGCTGAATCTGATGAGCCTCTGTGACAAATGTATTGACCTTCTTCGTCCACAGTTACATCAGAGAGCACGAATCTGAACAAACCAGTTCCCGATGAAGACACGTTTCCAATGAATCTCACTCTAGATGTGAACTTGACATCATTGTAGTCTGTGATGTGAAGAAGGCATTTCTTTGTCTCACTGTTACACACACTGAACTCCCTGGTCCCTGGCTCCGGGAGAGTCCATGACAACGTCGCATAGCCGCCAAACCTGGCATACTCAGTTGTAGTAACTGGAAACAGAAGATATATGAAAGGCGGTCAGATTAAGAATTGTATCACTAATAGAACGCAGACAGTGAACTATTTATGAAAGTTTGTTTGCAACAAAATAAAAAAACGACTTCACATTAAGTAAAGTTAATGCTCAAGCAGTGTACCCTGTGTACATGTAAGAAAAAGTTACTTTGATTAAAATGTCATCTATAACTACATAACTGTCAGAGATATACAAACGACATGTTTCTGATTAACTCTTACAAACTTTGCTCATAGCAAGGGTACACTTCCAGTGACACAATAATAGAGTTTCATAACATGCTTTCCAAAAAGTAGCAAGCCAAAACAATTCTTCGCCAAAAGAGGCGGCCAATCTCACTACTAAACTGTTTTTTTTACAAACTAGATTCTACAATATTGTACATACAATTCAAAATGTCTTACTATTTATCAAATACGTAAACCAAAAGGCTTTGTCTCAGGCAGATACACAGAAGAAGCAAAACCAGACTTATATATGATATTATTGATTATACAGAATCATATAAAATACTGGGGCTCCTCCTTATTGATTTGGAAATATCCTTCGATTCCATTGATAAAACTTTTATGAAATGCCTACAGTGTTATCAAAACAATTTATTGACACCTATATACACATGCAAAGACGTGACAATTGTTCACATAAACAAACCACGGAAACATTATGATACACAGTATTGCCAGTCCACATTATTGCCAAGCATCAATAACATGGAAGTGTACCAATAATATGTTTACTACCAATTCCTTCCGGTAACATATGTCACACATTTGGCAAAATGTATTGACTCGGAGCATGTTTGTTGATCAAAACATTTAGACACTAACATAGGTGAATACTTGTACTCATCCCATTTTTGATAATCCCTCCAGTGAAAAGCTATGAATATCAGAAACAGTGTGTTTCAACATTATAATCACTTCATGGGCAGGGTAGAGTGTTATAACTCTATTGTATTTACACGGATAGCAGACTAAAAGATTAAAAAAATCAAAAACGCAATGTGCAGGTAATATCTTATGAACAAATGTTATGAATGCATGTGCGATGATTACATTTAATTTACCTGTAATGTGTTAGTTATGTTACAGTGAGGAAGCTGTACATACATAAATGTACTCTGACCACTATCCCTTATTTTTGACATGAAGAGGTATTGCGGATTATTATCCAACAAACCCACCAACTATTTGCTGATATGGTACAACAGTGATAAAGGACAAAATAATTACATACACAGTTGAGGTACATGTACCAGTCACATTTTTGTTACATTTACTGTGGTTCCATCATTATTCAGCAAACTTCGACTTGGTTTTGTTATTCAGATTGTCCAGATTTGGACGCTAAATATTTCTTTCGTGCGGTCATTTTCGATCATAGGTGATGTGTCTTTCGTATATTCATTAAGCTTTGTTTGTGAAGAGCTTTACCTCTAAAGGCAAGTGGAACTGATCTCCAACAGAGAATGAGTTGCGTAACTTAAGGACTCTGTTTTCGGTCTGTATAGATTGGCATCGGCAAGCTGCAATGTGGAAATTGTGGTTCCTTATTCGGAATTTTAAACTTAGCAAGTAAATGTGCAGGTAGAAATATTTCAAGATAAATACATAGTGTGTGACGTGTTTCTTTGTGTGTAATCGTCTCCAAAAATACGGGACATGCATTGTTGTTTATACATTCAACCACATGTGAATGGGCAGTCACCGAGAGGTAGCTGTAATATAGCTTAAATATTGATGTCTGTGGAATCATATAGCACGCACTCATATCCCCAAACATTAAGACATAACTAGGCACATTTTGGTACAAGCGAAATGAATTAATGTACTATTTTGAAAACATTTAATATTGTAACATTCAAACTATCTGCTGGTGAATGAAACTATAGCTCTCAGCGTCATAATTATGTGTATCTTTTATATTTTAAAGAACAAAGATTTAGACATAAAAACGTAACGGGGAAAACTGTATTAATTACAAAATCTTATGGTTTTCAAATTTCAAGAATATTGAGACTATATAAAACCCATTCGGTCTTAAACACTGTAAGCAAACGTCACCTCATGTAGCTTGGCGTTCTGGAAACTTTGCACTGTGATGTTTTGTTGCCTAACAAAGTTAGTGAATGTGTCATATAGTCGAGTGAATGTGAACTTCATGATGATTGTGATTTAAAGGTACATAGCATTTTGCGATCAGTTATACGCAATAATGATCATCTAAGTTCATCATATTATTTTTTTGTTTGCAACATTTCCGCTCCCTCCATCAGATAACCACACAAACCGACTTTCTGTTTAGTCCTGTGTCAATTTGTTATGCTGTATCTGTTATTCGCCGACTCCCTGCCTCTCCAAATATGACATTTATTCACGATTCACGTTTTGTCTGGACAAGCCTACGCGTGTTGACGTGAATCCCATATGTTGTATGTACGTTTATTCTTTCTACGTTTTAATATGTGTACACATGTGTATTCGTTACCATTATCGTTGTATATAGATGACCGCATACATACATGCGTGAAAAACAACGAATACACTACAAGGGACATTTTTGCATTCATGCATGTCCGAAAGTACGAACATTTTAAGTGTGAAGAAAAATACAGCTTAATTGAAACAATGCATGCAGATATAGTGAGTGAGTGAGTTTGATTTTACGCCGCTTTTAGCAATATTCCAGCAATATCACGTCGGGGGACACCAGAAATGGGCTTCACATATTGTACCCATGTCGGGAATCGAACTCGGGTCTTCGGCGTGACGAGCGAACGCTTTAACTACTGGGCTACCCGACCGCCCCATGCAGATAGAATGATGATCAATATGGAGGTTTTCAATGTCATAAAATGATTGTGAAAGTATCAACTGTCAGTTTGTCAATATGCATTGCTGTACATCAGAGGGGAATCCGAATTAGAATTTGTCTCTGGCATAATAAGCTTGTTGTGCGAGTCAATTGGGTGGATCGGGTTGTTGGCGTGACGACGTACCCCGACGGCGTGAATAATTGCTCATAGTATCAATCATTTCATAGTTTGATCCGATCTCCATTATTTTCAGACCACCCTCGTTTAACTGGAACATTGCTGAGTGCGGCGTTAAACAACACACACACACACACACACACACACACACACACACACACACACACACTTTTCTCAAACTGTTGCACCACAGCAATTTCAAATAGAGACCACATATAAAGTCGTTCAGACCTGTTCACTCACTCTGTTTCAAATATTTAGCGGCAAATATATATATTAACCAGATATAGGTGAGATATCACCGTGTGCGAAATACGCTGGAGTCGGAAAGCGCACGTAAAATTTCTAATAAAAGTAAGTAGTGAGTGAGTGAGTGAGTGAGTGAGATATCAGATTTGCATAAGCAGTCGAATAAGGAGGATGAAGGACCTCTCACTTATTCGGTTCTTGTTTACTTACGAAATTAATTGGCCATGTTTGATGACAAAGGGAAAAGTAAGCTGCGATAACGAGCGGTAGCTCCAGGCGAAGTGCCAAACTGGACTTGTTATTGTGGCGTATGAGTTGTGATTCTATTTCATGTGTTGTTCGTGAACAAAAAAAACAGTGGAAGAAAACGCAAGCCAGCAAATACACGATGCAAATATACATATTCTCTTGGAATGGTAGTAAAACTATGAAATGTGCATGTACATGTATATATTCAGTCCACATGATTCAGTGAATTATATAAACTTTGCTTTTTAACGTAAAACATATCAAGACCAACCAGGAAACATACTCATGCTCCTTTTCAATTTATAAGGTAGGCAACGACCAAGGGTGTGACCAGGGGTGATGGGATCGTGGCTCTCGAGCCCCGTGAGTCAACCAACAACCAGGCCGTATTTCTTCCTTATACCAGTCAACCCGTGATGATTCCGGGCTAGAATAGATCTTCAGCAACCCATACTTGCCGTAAAAGGCGACTATGCTTGTCGTAAAAGGCGACTAACGGAATCGGATGACTTGGTTGATACATGTCATCGATCCCAATTGCGTGGATCGATGCTAAGGATATTAATCACTTGATTGTCTGGTCCAGACGCAATTATTTACAGACCGCCGTCATATAGCTTGGATATTGCTGAGTGTGGCGTTAAACAACAAACCAACCAACCAACCTTATACCTGTCTATAAGTATAAAGTTGTATACATGAGAGCATTTACAGAAGTACGTCCTACATTCTGATTGGACAATAATGCCAATAAATACTATTAAATTCCATTTGGATGGACATGAATAAATTGACTTTCACGTGTTTGACATATATGCGTAATTATCTTTAATGAAGCTGAGACTTGACATGCAGGACAGGTGGCATGTCGCTTGGGGCGTCAATAAGCAATCCTTAATGACAATGACGGACACCGTCACAAAGGACGACAGGTCAAGCGGTGACCCTTAATTATCTGATTTATTGTGTGACGTCAGAGCGCCAACTTTGGTAGACGATAAGGATTTACTTTTATGATTTAACTTTATACTTTTTTACCTTTAACATTGTGTGAATATTTATGTTCATTTTGTAAACGTATACAAGTGAAAGAAGCTGTGTGACATTACCCTGTTGGATGTGAGTCATTGCTCAGTAATGTACATATTGGCAGTATCGTTTTGACTTTAAAGGTCTACATGTGCATACTATATAAAGGGTATGACACTGCCATATACATCGAAAAGTTACAAGTACTATAAAACACAATATCGTGTTTGTAAGGTATGTACAAGATTCTTGATAAATCACAATACATCATGCGAGGCTGGTCAAAATGTTCTAAGCCTAGCAAACAAAACCATCAATTGTGAAAGGGTTTTTAATCATAATTTTCAACATACTCTCCCTGCTTTCCAATACACTTCTCATATCGATAGTGAAGCGTTTCAATTCCAGTCAGGAAGGAGTTTTCTGAAGCCACTCTGAAAAACCCATTTACT